GTAAAAGGATGCTAAGTTATTGCTTATTACATTATCCATTAAGAACACCCATGGAAGAAACTTGTCTTAGGTTTTGGTAGTAGGAAAACTTGGGGTTTTATCTCACAAATATTTCGTATCTTCACGTTCATGTTTTCCTCTTCACTTTCACTGCTAGGAATCTAAGAGCCAAATTCTCAACACACCTTTATCAACTATAAAAGACGTTAAAGTATATGTTTATCATACTTATTTTTCCTTGGCTTTAATTTTGCTTCCCATATTTTCTTTGAATACTGACATCATCAAATATTTGTGCTACTGGAATAATTGGGATGCCTACCTGGAGTAAGTTTAAACAACTAACAACAAACAAAACAGTCACATGGAAGAGAGAGAAGTTAATTGTCTTATTTGAACTTCTGAGTTTGTTTCTTGTTTTTGTTGTTGTTTTGTTTTGGTTTTTAGAGCCAGGATCTCACTCTGGTTCCCAGGCTGGAGTACAATGGTGTGATCATGGCTCACTGCAGCCTTGAACTCCTGGGCTCAAGCAATCCTCCTGCCTTAGTATCCCAAGTAGCTGGGAAAACAGGTTCACACCACCACACTCAGGTAATTTTTGATTTTTTGTAAAAACAAGGTCTTGCTATGTTGCCCAGGCTCATCTCAAACTCCTGGTCTCAAGCAATCCTCCCACCTTGGCCTCTCAAAGTGCTGGGATTATAGGCATGAGCCACTGTATCTGTCAGCTTTCCTGTTTTGTGAATCCAAATGGAAAGAAAGATACCCATGTACTCTCCCCACTTACTACTGCTGTGAGAGCCCTGGTATTCAGAGAGATGCTGAGAGCTGGGCATAAAAGGAATACGAGGGAGCCAGGAGGGCACAGAAGAGGGAAAGAAAGGATGTCTCAGTCTTTGGCAGCAAGGAATAAAGAAAGTTTCTATGGTCACGTCTAAGAAAAGTCAAGAAAGTGCAAGTCAGAAACTTCTTGCATTAAATGCAAGGGTGACATTTAAAATCCTGACACATCCAATTTGTATAACATAAAAATGTCATCTCCAGAATGCATATTTATAAAGCAGTTTTCTTCATATAACTACAATACTATACTGCATCACCACTTGGCCCACACACATATGCAATTCAAAGTCATCCCAAACCTGTTACTATATTTTCCACCCACACAAGTAAGAGCACAGCTTCATTAAAAAACAAAACACATGAGGAATTTAGAAAAATTGCTTTGGCTGAGTAAAATGGTAATATTGCCAATCAAAAGCAATCATATACCCCCAATAAATAGGACTTGAATAATTTAGTAGCTATACAGAGGAAATGTAACTATAATTATGGACTCTCAGAAGCCACTATGCCTAGAGATAGGGTATAGATATGCCTAGGTAGCTGACATGATATCTACTCATATGTGCAGATCATCAGTGGGGAAGAGGTTTTATGTCAGAATGTTTAGAAGGTTAGGTACACATAGCAGTTCATTGGGTTGGTTCGAAGACTAGCAGGCACCTCAGCACTTCACGTTACTCCCAGAAGACACCATTTCCTACGTTCCTCTCCTACATCTATACCCATCAGGACCCTCATCTCATGTAGAAAACAAGTTTCTCGGGAATTTTTATTATAAATGTTATCATAGTCACATTATCCTTACACACAAATAAGAAAAAATTAGCTACTTTTTTTTTTTTTTTTGAGATGGAGTTTCACTCTTGCTACCCAGGCTGGAGTGCAATGGCATGATCTTGTTTCACTGCAACCTCTGCCTCCTGTGTTCAAGTGGTTCTCCTGCCTCAGCCTCCCAAGTAGCTGGGATTACAGGCATGTGCCACCATGCCCAGCTAAATGTGTATTTTTAGTACAGATGAGGTTTCTACATGTTTGTCAGGCCGGTCTTGAACTCCCGACCTCAGATGATCCACCCACCACAGCCTCCCAAAGTGCTGGGATTACAGGCCTGAGCCACTACACCAGGCTGCTACTTATGCTTTTAAAAAATCAAAACTAAGAGAGCTCAGGTGAAGAATTACCTAATTTCAATAAGCAGTCATAAATTTAGGTACTTTGAAAAATTTACCTAATATATTTACCCTTTAATAATATTAACATTTTCATGTTAAGATTCTCTCTTAACAGTGTGTCCTTCACAGCTAATACAAAGTCCAAATTCCCTCTCTATTTCTGTAATTATATGATTTAGTTTAATTCTCTAGTGATTATACTATAAACGAACCATGGAAACGAACTTTATATTAGAGTCAGATTTTTTTTCTTGTTTAGATGTAGGGTCTTGATACATTACCTAGACTGGCTTTGAACTCCTGGGTTCAAATGATCCTCCAACCTCAGCCTCTAGAGTAACTGAGACTATCCGCACATGCTACCTAAGCCTGGCTAGAGTCAGTTTTATTTTTTCTATTTTTTTTTTCAATCCTGTTAGACCTACCTCAACTTCATTTTATTTATTTATTATTTTTTTATTTTATTAGAATCAGTTTTTTAGACATGTAATCTTCCTAATTTGATTCCCTCTGTGATCTTAGAGTCAGTATATCCAGAACTTACAATGTGTCTCCTCCCCACCCTAAATAATGTGGTTCATACTGCACTCCTGCTTTCCTTCTTGGAGTCTGAAATTTTGATACATACCCCCTGCCTATGTGACCTGCTCCCAGTAAAAGTCCTGGGCCCTGAGTCTCTAGTGAACTTCCCAACATACCATGTGTTGTCATAGTTTGCTGGTGGAGAATTAAGTATATCCTTTATGACTATTTTGGGAGAGGACCTTGGCAGCTTGTGCCTGGTTTCCCCAAGACTTTGCTCCTGTGTACCTTAGTTTTGTATCATTTTCCTGTAATAGAACTTGGCTGTGAGTATGACCATATGCTGGGTCCTATGAGAGCTCTCCAAGCCAGTCACCAAACCCGGGACCCTGACACAGCCCTTACAGAAATCATGTCATTTCTAGCCTCTTCGGTCTAACTTGAGGAGCCCTTCATAACTGCCTGCACTATCACTTCCGCAAGCTTTACCACTGGATATGAGCATGTGCCCACTACTAGGGTTACATCACGGTTTATGCGGTAGGGAATGGCAATTCTTGGGGGGATGGTTCTCAGCCATGAAAAGTGGTTTCTGTTCTTAGTTCCCTGTTTGTTCTGTCACTTGCTGTTTAATTGTGAGTAATTCACAATCTCTCTTAATATCCTTACCTATAAAACATTCTCAATATCTGATCTAATTTGGATCGTGTGTGCCCTTCAGATCTCAAGTTGAAATGTGATCTCTAATGTTGGAGGTGGGGCCTAGTGGGAGGTGTTTGGATCATGAGGGTGGATCCCTCATGAATGGCTTGGTGCTGTCCTCATGGTAATGAGTTCTCACCCCTGTTGGTTACCAGGAGATCCGATTGTTAAAAACAGCCAGTACTTCCTTTCTTTTCCTCTTGCTCCTTCTCTGGCCATTTGACACCCCCACTTCCCCTTTGACTTCCTCCATCATTGTAAGCTTCCTAAGGCCTCAACAGAAGAAAATGCATCTTGTACAGCTTGCAGAACTGTGAGCCAAATAAACCTCTGTTCTTTATAATTATCCAGCCTCAGGTATTCCTTTATAGTGGCACAAAACAAACTAAACAGTATCTTTACACAAGATCTGAATAAAACCACAAGTATGAATAACATCTGTATGTGTGATTTTGATTTTCTGTAATATCTTACCAGTTTGCTACTGAAAGGCACATTCTATCAAAGTTTATTGTAAAGTGAAACAGCTCTGTTAAGGAAGGCTCATCTCAGTAACATCCATATGGAAAGTAATTTTTACGTAGTTTTGTAAAAGTTTCTGGAATCATTAAAAAATTAGACACTTAAAGGAAAATCAGACACTTAAAAATATGTAATATGCTACAATTTAGGAAAAACATTCAAAATATCTCACCACAAGTTAGTTCTCCCAAATAGTAGAATTGTTTTTGAAAGTTAATGTCAGAAAAAATAAATAAATAAAAGATAACAGCAACATAGTAGTTGGCAGGAAAGCGGTGGAGTTTCTGTCTAGACATTGACACTCATCCCTCAGGATGAAGCAGATGACACAGATAAGAAACAGTCCCTTTCGAAACATTAAGGATCCCTTAGCTAAATTCATAGCAAGATCAAAAGGTTTCAACAAAAGAGCCTATGGGAATACCTCACTGAGTTTACTACTGCTTCTGTATACAAATCTCACTAATTAGTCACTTCTAATACCAATTATTGTTGAAATATATTTTCCCAAGGATCAACAGAAGACAGACAAACTCACTGAGGGACCCATATGTAACGCTCTGAAGCCTTAAATAGGTTCCTGAGCTGGGCTTGTGGGCAGCCCCATGCCTCTGAGGTTTAAGAAACATCCATGTTTCAATGAAGTTGGGTGGCCAGTTGTTTTTACAATTACTTATAAAATAAACTTAATTATATTTCATTATACTTCTGTGTAATTTTTGGCACAAAGGAAAATGAATTACAACTTGTGGTTTGCAAAGTCTAAGCATAAGTACACGGCATTCTTGTCTTTAGAGAACATTCAAACTTTTAACCACCTCCTAAATTGAAGTTGCCATCACAACTGAAAGCTGTTTCCAAACGCTTCAAGTGAGCGTCTCCAAAGCGAAGACTTTCGGATGTATTGGTCAGGCTGGTGTGTACTAAGTAAGAAGGACAAAGGGAAAGGTGAGATGACATTGTAGCTAAACTGCATCCATTTTCATTTCTGGATTTTCCTACTAAAACTGAAAAGCAGAGCTTTCAAATCAGAGAAAAACTAGAGAACAATTAGCATAGCAAAGCCATGAATAACAGATATTTTAAGAGGCATCATGCACTAAAGAAGAATTCCATATTTCCTGGTTGAATTTACATGTGGATTTGTTTAGATATGCATCAAATGCAGAGTTATAATCACTAACAATGGCCACTTCTCACAAGCATACATTAATGTTAGCAATCCAAAAATTTTACCTCCAAATCCTAAGAGAGACTTTGAGCACAGATAGAGACAGATGAAAGATGGCATGCTGCAGTGCAGCAATTTCAAAGTTACTGTAGCATTGACTCTCCGGCTTCTATTCCTCCAGGAATATTCTCAGTGAAACACAGAAAGGTAAAATCAATTGCTTTCTATCACATCCAGATTCTCTCCTTAAATTCAACACTCCAAAAATCAAGCCGGGGCAGGAAGCAATAACTGCACAGTATTTGATGGTGTCCTTCAGATTCTTCTTCTAATATTTTCCCCTGGTTCCCAGTGTGGCTTCTCCGCATGACTGTGCAGCATTCTCTAAAGTGCTGTGGAAGTAGATCCCAGCAGCAGAGAAACAGAAAACCTGAAGTGTCATGGGGCCGCCTATGACCACTGGCTTCTGAGCATCATCATTTTGCTTCGTACTGAATTTTCAGTTTAGTTATGTATATATTGTTATCCTTATCTTTCACAATTGTCATATTAACATACACTTCAAACATTTACAGATAGGGCTACTGAGATCAACACAATAGTTATACTGATTTTTCCCTTTATTTTTGTCAAGGACTGCATTGAAATTCTTCCCTTCTGCTTTCTTTCCCTGTATTTCCTTCAAAGGAGTCTGAGCTCATTTAACTTGCTTTATTCTCTAAAGTTCAATAATACTAGTAGGACTACACTGGCCACACCAATAAGCAGCACTCTCCACTAAGCAAATGAGGCCAATTCCAACCAAGCCAGTCCACTGATAGGAGGCTCCAGGGGGCAGGAGGGAGCAGGGCCCAGGAGAGAGCAAAAAATACCATTTTTTGGTCATCTATTATGCTGTACGCCAGCACTTACAGTTCCATTTGTAAACATTAATTTAATCCTAAGTCAATTCTGTGAACATTGTATTATCCACATCCCCATTTTTACAGACACAAAAATGATCTCAAAATGATCAAGAAATTTGCTTACATCTCCTATAAACCAGTAAGAAGATCACAATCAATCTTATAGAAACATGATCAAAGGATAAGAATAGACATTTCATGGCAGGGAAAGCACATCATGCCCATAAGCATGAGAAGTGGTGGTCAGCACCATTAGTAGGCAGAGAAATGTAAATTAAACCTCAGTGAGGGATAATATCATGCAATCAAAAGCCTCAATTTCATATCCATTCACTTAGCAAAAAATGGAAGTCTCACAATTCCAGATGTTGGAAGGAATGTGAAACCACATTCCAATTAGAGTGAAAATGCAGGCAACCACTTTGGAAAACAATTCGGTACTGTCTCCTGATGCTGAACATTCATACACCCTACAACCCAGCAATTCCATTCCCACCCAAGAGAAACTCTGGCACATGTGCACAGGAGTTACAGTTACCGTCAACAGTGCTGAAACAGCCCTCTCCACAATAGGCAAAATTGTGAAGACACTCACATACCCATCAAGAAGACATTGTAGAAATAAACTACAGTATATTTTACACACTGGAATATTTAACAATAGAGCAAAACAAATGTTACTACAGCATATCACAATGTAGATGAAACTTCACAATAAAAAAAGGATTATCTACAAGATGTCCTTTTTAAAAACCTAAAAAGTTATAATTTAAATTTCCTTTTCAGAGTGTAATAAGATTGCATGAACAGGAAAGTAAAGGCATAGCAAACATGAAACTCAGGATGCTGTCTCTGTTAGGTGGAGAGAGAGATTAAGACAAGGGAACTGCTAAATGGTGAGATGAAGGTTATCATCAAAAGCTTAGATGTTGTTTTGGCAGGTGGCTCACAGGTGCTTTTTATTTAAGATGTCTAATTAATAAATAAAGAGGAAACACCAATGAGTATGTATCATGAACCAAAGATTATTAGTAATTTAATTTTGTACCTCTGAGGTCCTAAAAACGCCCAAAGGATTAAGATAAAAACAACAAACACAAATCAGGCCCAAGTCATCTAGTGATGCTTCAGGCGCTCAAATTCCGACCTGCCAGACTCCAAAGCCCAAGCTCTTCCTTTCTCAACTAGAAATCCAAAGCCAGTACAAGTTACTCCCATTCACTCATGATGATGAATGACCTTGTCTATGGGTTATAGCCAGAGTTGATAAATTTATTTTTTCCAGAAGTGTATAAAGACAAGAAAGATATTACCTGTCTGACAGAGACTTCTGGGCAACACAAAGCCTGAGCTAAGCTAGAATCCTGGACCTACCACACACTGTAACCAATGTCCCTAGAGGGGAACGTTTCACACTCTCAGCCTCCATTACCTTAGGATGTGAGGATTAGAGATGACAGTGAAGATAATCATAAAGACTGACACTTTTTGTTGCTTATAAGCCAGAGTTTTT